AGTGTTTTAAATACTCGCCATCTCTGGTTTGTTGTGTTTCATTTCCTAAAAAAAAATGAATGTAGAGTCTCGAGTTTACATTAGCTTTTTTTTTATGAAAATATCCCGCCTTGGTGCAACTATGTTCACAAGCCGAAATGCGTGTACCTTTCAAACTCAATTTGTTTGTTTTTTTAAACCGTTCACCAAAAACGGATCTATACTTCAAGTGTGGCTTTTTTTTTAAATTTTCAAATTTTTTTTTGTTCATGTCAATAGGTCACCATTATGTCTTTAGAGCCCAAATTGTTTGCAGGAAAAATTCGCCCCTAGATGTAACATTCAAACGTTTATATATATCATTTGAAAATAAGAAGGGAAAAAAGAGCACTTACTGAACTGAGAATAATCATTTACAAGTTTACAGAAAGGACCAGTAGCTTTTTATATTTGCTGACATATTTTTTACTGTCTAAATCACCTCTGAGAGCTGATCAGGTTCAGATTCATTTTTACATTTGCGAGAAAGAGGGTTCGTCATCCTATAAATAGGAATGAGTTTTCCAAATGTGAAAAACTAAAAAGTAACGTGTAAACTTTCGCGACTGCTACCGATGTTAATGAATTGTTAATAACTACTGTTACCTAAAGAATTTGCCGACTTATCCTAACGTGTTTAACGTACGTCCTTTAAAGGGTGCCACCTGTTGTTTGTCCAATTGCCATTGTATAAAGAGTTAAGCTACGCCTTAACTAGAGCAGTACTTGAACAAGTCGCTAAGAGCCGACCTCCGATTTTAAAGAAGAACCTGGGAAATGAAGACAATCAGCAGTTTAGTAGACCGCGAAAACGTTTTCTCGGGCCTTTTCGTGCGCAAACGTGAAAGCACCAGCGCTGCAGCGTGTTTTGCCTGTTTTCTTGCCAATCGGGTGATTATTTTGTGCAAAAGTGACTTAAAAATGCAAATCCACGCGCACTACATTCGTGATAGCATAGTTCTACTAAGGATGAGGATGGAGATTCACAACACTGTAGCTGTATCTTGTGGGTATTGCTCAGTGTCTTGATTTCTTTGTTTAACTGGCAAAATGGGAGTAAAATTTATTATCTAAAGTAAATGTGAATCGAATTTCCATTATTCAGAATTAATAATAATGTTCGTGAATGGTGTTCCAAGAATTCAAGACATATTTCCCGCCCTTAAAAGTTTGAAACTTGAAGCCGTAATCAACTCTCGATCTCTTTATCTTCACGTCACACGAGTCATGACTGCGCTGGAAAATGCTGTGTTTTCTTTAAACGACGCAGAGGTTTTCATCGAGTATTTAATGAACCTTGGAGGAAGACAGAAAGCATAACCCTTGAAACTGGGTCATTTCGATGTATGTATTCTATTATGCCGATCAAGGCTACTTAGGGGTACATAATTATTGTTGTATAGCGCTGTATTGTGATGTAAACTGCAGAGAAGGGAATTATAGTGCTATCTAGTGGTAAATATTGTTGTATAGCGCTATAGAGTATTATAAAATAATTCAAATAGTACGCGCGCTCTGATTGGCCATAAAACCATTTTACATGAGCGTATGTACACACGGTTTTCGTTCCTCTCTCATTAGTTATTTTATAAAAGAAATGTAAATGGTTTCCGTGTTTACATAGCCTGATGTAAACACTTGGGAGGTTGGAAGAACCTCGATAAGGTGGAAACCACTCCGCTTCGCGTCGTGGTTTCCTACGCTTATCTCGTGTTCTCCCAACCTCTCGCGTGTTTACATCAGGCTATGTAAACACGGAAACCATTTTACATTTCTTCAATGTAAACTGCAGAAGAAGGAAGTACAGAGCTATCTAGGGGTACATATCGCTGTTTATGGCCCATCAAATCTTTTTGCTCGCGCGCGATTGGTCTCAGGGTTTAGGGTTAGGGTTAGCTAAAACTGGGTGATATCCGAGAATATCACCCAAGCGATATTCCCCAATTTGCAAACCTTACGTCCACCACGATAAGTCTTCGTTTCAAACTTAATTCAATTCAGGGTAAGTTAGTATTATCATCTGAGTTGGTAACGTATATTGGCCACCGTACAGAGTTTAAATCACACATTTCCAGCGTTAGCCCTTTGCAATCGCTCTGACGAAGGGCTAACGCTCTTTATTAAACCTTTTATTGATTAAATTCAGTAAGCTATTCATGATAAAACATTTTTCACGTGCGTTGCAAAATATTTGAAGGATAAAAAACACAATAGCCTCTATTTTGCGCGAAAATATGTACAGATATTTGTCCTTGGACATTATCTGTCCCTCGAAGGTCTCAGTTTTCGCATCTTGGAACAGACAATGTCCGCGGACAAATATCCGTACTCATTTTCGCGCCAAATTGGAGAAATTATTTATATAGCGCTGTATGGTGATGTAAAATGCGGTAAAGGGAAGCCTATGGCTATCTAGGGGTACATATCGTTTGAACCATTCCTAATCAGGTGATAGAAGTCTTAATTTGGACATTGAAAGACTCATTTCCAACAAAATACAACGATTATGTCGCCGAGACTTGGAGGGACCTCTTTCGCTTTATAACTGCCACTGTGATGAGAGGACTGAGGAAAGCAAACACTAGCACCGAAGACTTAAAAGTGGGGGACCTCATAGTCTGGAAATCAGTCGAAAGGAAAACTGAGATTTTACTAGAGATGACGTTAAGCGGACACCATCCTAAAGTGGACAAAATAAACATGATAACAACTGTTCTGGGGGAGTAAGGAGGTATATGAGTTGTAAGACGTTGCGCGAGGATTGAGACGAATGAAAACTGAAACAGACAAGGAGATAGTCGTGTCATATGAAGCGCGTAGATGAATAAAGTTGAGGGCGATGAAAGAAGTGCACGTAAAGATAGGAATAAAGGAGAAAGTACGATGGAAAAAAAAGAAAGGAACAAAAGGAAGCAGAAAAAAGGATGCACAAATGTGAAAAGGTGTAAAAACTTGTGTGAGGAAAAGGTAAAAGAGGCGCCGACATATAACAATATGAACACGTCCGTCAGCGTTCAAAACCGCATGGCAATGTGGAGAACGATAGACAGTGAAAAAGATGCAACCCAAGAGACGACGCGCTTTTTTAAGCGGGTGGGGGCTTGAAACATGGAATGTCAGTACACTGTCAGCTGCACAGATTATCAACTTGGCGCGCGCGGGTTAAAACAAGCATTGAAGTCCCCATAGGATCTGTGCTCTCTGCATCTCACGTGAATCCTTAGAATATAGAGACAGACAAAGAAAATCAACGCAATTCTTTTATTTTATACACTGTAAATTTATCTTACACCCAGAAGTAAAAAAATAATAATAATAATAAGCACAATAGAAACTGCATTAAATTGTTCAGGGCATTAGAAGTGCACGTAAAGATGGGAATAAAGAAAAAGTACGGAGACACTAAAATGAACCCATTTACTCCCAAGACTGATCACAATTTAAATTATCCCCACAATATTAATACACCAAAGAAAATAATGCAAATAAGTATTACAGAAAACCTAAACTGGAGGATAATTTTTTGCTAGAAACGTCATGTTAAATCGAATTCTCGGAATGAAGCAACAAAGAAATACATTCTTATCACTTGTGAGGACTTTTCTCCAGAACTTGGGAGTTCATGAGTTAATTAATATAAACTAAAGTAAATAAACAATTATCTTCAACTGTAAATTAAAATCGCATCAAAATACTTTACATGAAATACACTGACATCATGCAAAGCATATTTAGTTAAAACTGTCCCAGCTTGTTTTTAAAATCCTAGGTTACATCATATTCAACCATGTGCAAGGTTAACTATTACATTTTATACCAGCATATACCAATGGTAATTACGAAAATCTGCAAAAGTAAGATTGATTTTAAAACTTTCCTCAAGAATAGCTGTGATACAGTATATCTTAAACTTTTGACCACATAACGAATTCTAATTACAAAGCGTGCTTTGAATACCTATGTGTAAATTCTTAAATTTAAGAAAGATGTTATCAGACATCTTCACATCACACTAAGGTAAATTTAAAGCACAGCACAAAATTTGAACAGGGAATTCTCAAAAATTGAAAGTTTTCTCCTGAACCCCTGAACCTTTTCAACTACGGACTACGTTAACATTCATTAATGAACCTTTTCACCAAAATAATTCCCATATAGGACTACATGGCTTATTTCCATTGCTTCTTTAATCTATGGGCTTAAATATTTTCCTACGAGAAACAACAAGGTCTAATGCCTCTAACATATGGTCAGTTAATTTAATAACATCATCTCCGATGTTTACTTCTTCAAATTAAGCTTAGAATGGCAATCTTGGCACTGATACAATTAAATTGCATTAAAGTGGATTGAAAAAAATGTTAATCAATTTTTCTATTGAAGAAAATCTCAATTTGTAACAAAGTAATATATTATGTAGAGAAATTATCCAAGTTTAATTAACATATTGCCGCAAATTTTGCAAATCAAACTTTTGGAAATAAAAATTCTGCCAACTCTTACAAATGAATAACTATCTCTTTGCTTATCAAAAGCTTAGAGTATAAATCTATTAATTAAAACCCAGCGGAAAAGCTCCTGGTTATGAACAAGAAAAAGCCTTTAAATTGTTTTCCATACAACTGATTGTAATATAAGAATAGAGATGAGTGTCATTTTGACGAAAACGGAAATCTCCTAATCGCCTTCAACTGCTGCAGGCATTCGTAAAAGAAGCCTTGTTACATTTCGTTCTCTTCGCAAGCAGTTAAATTTTAAAGGTAACAAAACAAGACAATTCCAGTGATCAAAATATACATCAGTTTGTTTTATTTCTTCACCAAAGTAGAGTTACACATCTCAAGTTCCCTTTAACAAAAAAGTAAAATACAATGAAAATAGCTAAAAATTCCCAAAATAGAAAAACATTTAAACCTTCCAAGTTCCTGCGTCATTCTTTGTGGGATAAAAAAAAGAAAATTTTCATTCATGTGATTTTGTACTTAAATTTCCTCTTTCCTTTGCCATGAAGTCAAAGTGACGTCATCTCCAATAAGCAAAAAGGGCGCCCAGTATTTGATGTCGCAGAACTCGTCTGATTCTCTGAGGCTTTTCATGGCCAGGTTCAGTGACTCGCTTGCAGGTTTACCTTCTGCAAGGTGTTGATAAAAGCATTTCATGAACTGGAGAGTAGCCTCGTCATCAATCGCCCACAGGGACACCACAACAGACCGAGCTCCAGCCCCCATAAAAGCACGGGCGATGCCAACCACACCTTCAGCCTTGATCTCGCCTCGACCACTGTGGCAGCAACTAAGCACAACAATTTTGGTACGAAGTTGAATATTCAACACATCTCCAATTGTTAAAATGTAATCCTTCTCCGTTGGCACAGAAGAAATTCGGTGTGGGTCAGGTGTAAGAGCAATTTCGCCAGTTTCCATACATCCGTGTGCCGCAAAGTGAACTAAGGAAACGGAACTGAGTCTTTTCAACACCTCACGTTTCGTGGCCTGTCTGCCAGTGATTGGCGTGATATTCAGAATTTTTCCGATCATTTCTACTTCTTCTTTAGCACAGGGAAGCTGCTCAAATACTTTCTCTCCCTTGCTGTTAGTAACCTCGGCTAAACATGGATCTCCTACAAGTAACGCACCACTGCTTTTGTGATCTGGGCAATCGGCAATGAGTCTAAGACTTGTTAACGATGGAGCGAGTCGGATTCTGAACAATTCACACAGGTATTTACAATTACCATCCTTCAATGCAGCGTAAGGAGCGAGCCACAGGTGTCCATTGGGAATAATAAGTAGCTCATTCCCTTGAACCAGGTCCGCCACCGGCTTTATAACGATATCATACAAAGTACGCAAGGATTCGTTTTGTTTGATGGGAGGTTGAGGGTTGTCTTCTTTAGTTTTCTCGTTCACTTTTGAGGGGATCTTCCTCAAAGCATCCAAAGATCGATCCTCGCATCTCACATTAGAACGAACACCAAGTTGTGTATAGACACCGAGCATGAACGACTCAAAGGGCTGGCTTGCTCCACTATTCTCTGAAACAGAACCATTAAGTTTACTTTGTCTCAACTGAACTTGTTTTCCTTTGGACACAACCCAAAGATTAACGTCAGCTTCGTCTATTGCCTGAAACACAGTGTCTGATGGAACGTTCTCTAAAACTGCTAAATCTTTATCGCCTCCCTTGCACCGACTTGTTCCAACATAAAAACTAGATTCCATAAGGTCGGTCAGAGCTTGAGCTCGCCCTTTCTCAGCAGCAAGTAAGGCTTCATCTATATTACCTTGTTTTACGAGAACTCTCCACAAACCTGTATATGCCATTTGATACCTATTTCGAAAATTGACTTTCCACTCATCTTTAGACTTAGGAAGTACTCTCCTTAAATTGTTTAAACAATTTATGCTAGCTTGGTAGTGTTCAACGGCTTTTCGCAGTTCACCCTGCGACTCAAAATCAAATCCTATTGAATAGTTGGCATTTCCCTCTGTGAATTTGTCTTTGCCCTCTTTGGCAATTTTGAGGCCTTGGCTGTGCAACTCTTTGGCCTTTATAAAATCTCCCAGGCCACGATAAGCATTGCCAAGCAAACAATAAGCATGACCCTCCCCATTCTTGTCTCCTACTTCTTTGATTATTTTAAGTTGTAAGCTGTAGTGCTTGATGGCGTTTTCGAAATCACGCAGTATGAGATAAACAATGCCAAGATTGCCATGAGCTTTACCCTCCCCAACCTTGTTTCCTACCTCTCTGGCTCTTTTGCCATGTAGTATGTGACACTCTATGGCTTTATTGAAATCACCCAGATCGTAATAAACGTAGCCAAGATTGTAACAGACTTCACCCTCCCCACGCTTGTCTCCTACTTCTTGAGCTATTTTAAGATCTAGATTGTAGTACTCTATGGCTTTTTTGGAATCACCAAGCCTGTAATAAGCAGTGCCGAGATTGCAATAAGCTTTACCCTCCTCACCCTTGTATCCTAGTTTTTTAGCTATTTTAAGATGTAGGTTGAAGTACTCTATGGCTTTTTTGAAATCACTCAGACTGCAATAAACTACGCCAAGATTGCCATAACTAACACCCATCCCATGCTTGTCTCCTACTTCTTTAGCGATTTTAAATTGTAGGTTGTGGTACTCTATGGCTTTTTTGAAATCACCCAGACTGTGATAGGCATTGCCAAGATTGGTATAAGCAACACCCTCCCCATCCTTGTCTCCTACTTCTTTAGCTATTTTAAGATGTTGGTTGTGGTACTCTATGGCTCTTTTTAAATCACCCATACCGTGATAAGCATTGCCAAGATCGCCATAAGCAACACCCTCCCCATCCTTGTCTCCTACTTCTTTAGCTATTTTAAGATGTTGGTTGTGGTACTCTATGGCTCTTTTTAAATCACCCATACCGTGATAAGCATTGCCAAGATCACCATAAGCAACACCCTCCCCATCCTTGTCTCCTACTTCTTTAGCTATTTTAAGATGTTGGTTGTGGTACTCTATGCCTTTTTTTAAATCACCCAGACTGCAATAAGCTTTGCCAAGATTGCTATAAGAGATACCCTCCCCATCCTTTGCTACTACTTCTTTAGCTATTTTAAGGTCTTGGTAGAAGTACGCCATGGCCATGAAATCACTCAGAGAGGCGTTAACCTTCCCATGCTTGTCTCCCTGGTTAGAGAAACCCACAACTTTCTTAACATCACCTGAACTAGGACTACCATGGTCAGAGTTAATGTGATCTTTTTCCTCCATGGACGTATCTCTCACTTCTCTGACAGACTGAAGTCTCAATGATAGCAAGGTTCTATTATTTTTGTCAATCTTATTTTAAGTTAAGGTTTAAAAATGTAAAAAACCAAAAAAGATGAGTTTTCTTATCACGTTAATTTGGTATATAATGGTCCATTTTTACAGTTGTGTGATTGATTGCTAAGCCTTTGAACAGGAATGTGGCTAAGGGTGACCTTGTTATGACACAAATATTGCAGCTGCTTTTCAAATGCAAATTACTCTGTTGTTATGATCACTAGATAATGGTCTCTATCACAACAAGGTCACCTTCAGCCTCACTCCAAATCAAAGGCTAATGAAGTGAATGTACACATCCCAAAACGTTTTCATCTGTGTGCAACATTAAATTTTAACACTAAATATCTAGATGTAATCCCTCGTTTTCAAAAACTGGTAAGCACTTGCTCGATCTTAAGCTAATATAACTTTAACATCAGACGAATGTTTTACAGCAGTGGAAGAAAAGAGTCTACAACACAAATATGTGCCTTTAAAAGGTAGTTGTCCCTTTGTCAATTTGTCTATAGGAAAACGCGACGAAAGTTTCCGAGTCTCTGAGTAGTGTAAACAAAATAAGGGGATTGAAGAAAATCAGCATAATATATATGAAACACTACCAAACTTCTTTTTCAGACTCGTTTCAGAGAGATCACCTACCGACGTACCAAGTATAAACTAGGTGAATATTGGTCTTTAACTAAACTAATGTTATGGCATGGATAGTAAGACCAAGTCAAATTGGCTAAAAGGAGTAATATCATTAATAAGTCACAAGGAAATAACTTTTCCCACGTTTTTTAATCACACACACTTTAAGTATGAGCTTACAAGTTCCCATCATAATTAGTATTTTCTCCCTTAAAATATCAAGGTATGGAATATTTCCATAACTGATAAGCTGACTCATCTTTATTGATACCCTTCTTAGCATTTTCTCCCTTAAGACCTCAAATTATGGAGTATTTCCATTATACCCACAGTTAAAAATTATAGATTCCTTGAAAGGATACAGCTAATCCCTTATCACACCAAGAGATTGCTTCTTCAAATCTCTTCAGTTCAACACAGGCAGTGGCTCCTGTAAGCAACAATATAAAGAAGCATATATCAATTACTGTAGAACCAGAAAAAAAGAGAACCAGAAAATGTTGAAAGTTAAATCAATACTGACCCGAAAAAACCAAACAAAACAAAAAAAACTAAATAAAAGGAAAAGAATATAAAACCGGCCCAACTAGGTTCTGGTAATAGATTAGATAATTGAAACTTAGATAAGAACACTTAAATTAGGCTGATAATTCTCACAAAATAACTAAGAGATATAGATAGAATATAAGACATGCAATGTGAAAAGGGAAAAATAAAACCCATCTTTTCAGGGCTGAAAATTGGCCGTTGCATGGTCGCCAGTGGCGAGTTAAAACTGACTAGGGCCACCAAAAGTCAAGGTTTGAACGCCCGATGTGCGACTATGTTACAGAATTTCGAAAAGTTGCAATGTAAATTATGCGAAGTACAAAGTTAAAAATAAAACTCAATATGTAATTCAATTGGGCTACCCTTCTCTTCTTTTCTTTGCCTGGACTCTAAGATCATCCAATTTTGGGAATTTTTAGTTCTGAAGTGGAAATTCCGAGCCGTTTTAATAATGATTTCACGAGCGATCCACATTCACAATATATAGACGCTATTTTGATTTTGTGATTGCCCCCGTGACCCGGACTTCCGTTTTCTTTCCTCTTAGCTAACACTCCGTTAAAAGCCATGGGGCGTTTATTCAAGTTTTTCGTTTTAAACTAGAAGAAATCGATGGCTACTTCATTTTGGGACAACCAGATCATGGGAGTTAAAGGGTTAACCTTTTAGAATTCAGGTTAAATTTTTACTTCAATCAAAATACAAATTAAAACATTTTATTTGATGTTAATACTAGTTTCCCCTTGGTTTTGGCCTACATATTTGTTTTACTCAATCAGTTGATAACTGATTCCTAGGAAGTGGCTCAAACTAAGTTTTTAAAGTTCACCAAGAATAAGATGTTCTCATCCCGTCTGTAGTAACATTATTATTACATGTATTATGGGACTTGATATTAAGTTATAGTTGATGAATGAGGACATTTTCCTCACAGTTTTGAGTTAAGTCCTCACTTTTCAAAACAGCTAGATAGTGACTCAACATATCTGACACCACTACCTCACTCAGTGAGCAAAGGAAACTAAAATACTCATGCTGAAATTTTGCTTTGCATTCGGCATTGAGTTTTTCATCTAACTCAAAATAATAATCTCATCATAATGGAAAGTCATGGCAGTCAGCAGTCAAGAGCTGGATTCAAATGTACATCAGGGTGGTCTCAACCTCTTAAAGTCAATTGAGACAAGATTTAACTTCATCATTTCTATATAGAGTGGTGAGTTCTATTATCATTATTATTATTATTATTATTATAGCACACCTAATATATCTAACCTCTCACAATTGCTTTGAGGAAAGTTGGATTTAACTCAATGGCTGCTTCAGCATCCCTTAGTGAATCCTGGTGATTTCCTGTAATTCAAATAAATATCTCTGATTAGCTGTACAAATAGCAAACCCACAGCCTAAACATTAATTTTAGGAAAAAGTTGTGATAATTATTGATATCTGGGGTAAAAGGTTATTTTTTTGGTATATTTGAGGGGCCAAGATGATGCCTACATTCAAAATTATCGCCTTTTTCAGAAAACTACTGTTGACAGCCCTTAGCTTCAACAAAGAAAAAAAAAGCATATTAAAGTTCTCGTCAACTCACCAAGTTTAAAATGTGCAATAGCCCTGTTGTTGTATAATTTGACCTTCAGTTCTTTCTCATTGCAGTTCATTTTAATTCCTTCTGTGTAAAAGTGAATAGCATAGATGAAATCTCCTTTCTTGAAGGCCTCATTGCCCTTGATCCTATAAAGATCAGCCCGGGCTGCAAAAAATAAGTAAAAAATAATTTGTGTCAAAGTCCCTGCGTAGTTAAGAGTGTGTCCATGAGAGCACCGGGCAGTTGTGCTACAGGCCATTCTCACCGATTTCAATTAAACTTTTCCAGTTTAAAGGGTCTACCCCAAAACTCAAAAAGACAAACTAATTTCTGTTTTGGGAAATAGACACCCCCCCGTTTTTTCTTGGTTTTCACCAAAAAAAATCGCTTCAAAATAGATAAAATGCATGAAGCTTTCACTGCGATGGTATTTAACCAATTACTCTGAGGGTTTGCATCTCCCCTTGCCAGACAGCGACAATACTAACCTTGATTCCTTTTTATAACCCATCATTTCATCTCTGAAAACCATCAAAAAATCTTTAGGCACTATTGCATTTTTGTCTTGGATGCCTCTTAAATTCTGCGACTGTGACAAGTTTCTCTCATCTACACTTCTCACGCAATTCCTGCTCTAGGCGGTCACTTGACCAAATAAACTTACACTTTTTAGCTCTTTATACAAGATGATTGATCATGAAAGGTAAAAAAAAGGAAAAACTTACGAGATTTTATGTAAGAATAGAAAATTTTACGTTTAGAGAGATGCATGTAGGCCAAAACTCGATAGGAAAATCAGAGCAATTCTTTCTTCTGTCGTTTATTACTTTGGAGATTCGCTAAAATCAGCAAATATGGCTTTTGAACGGTACAAAACATTCATTAGTCTATAATTTGATTGTTTATCATCATCACTGTTCATTTTAGACTACGACTTCGACTTTCACAGACGAGAAATTCTGCGCTCTCGCTTGAGGGCAAATATCAATAGTTCTCTCAAACTAAAAACTATGCTTCTATCCCGGGTCTATCCGGGGTCCATATCCGTTAGGTCCGAACTGGAACGTAGCCACCCCCTATAAAATGGCAAGCCGGCCTTCGTCCATTTCCTACTGACCTTATCATAGGCGGGTTTTTTTTGTCAGCTTCACTGTGTTTGCCATTGTTTGGATGCTTTTGGACGATAGCTAATGACTAAAACGTCTCGATACATCCTTCCTCTTAGCAAGAATATCTTGCTTTCTTGTTCTGTCTGTGACGGATTGGGTATAGTTCTCGCGATGACCCGCGTTCAGAGATCTGTCCACGTTGCTGATAACCACCCGCTTCTACGATTAGTTTGCTGAAGGTTTTTAATGTGATGAGCCTAGTGAGACCCTGAGGTGCGCCAAACTGTGCCAGTTTGTCTCCGTTATAAACTTGTCGCAGTTCTAGAGTCAGAAGGAGGATCGCCCACCTCTATTTATGTAAGCGCCTCTACAGTACCTGCGTATCCCTTGCAATCATATGATATAAAGTTCATTTCAGTCACAAATTACCAGTTAGGAAAACTGCTGTTCAAATAAGCGCTCTTCTTGCCCTTCTTCCTTATTCATTGCCGACTCTAAGATTACAGTTATAGTACGCGTTCTATTAGGTTCACAGTCACCTTGCCACCAGGAAGACTTGCCACCAGCTTGGATTTCTTCTGCCATCTTCAGATTCACCTCTCTCTCAACTCTCTCACACCAAGTTGTGCGCGATATTTGAGGCATATCGTGAAATCGCGGCCTTCGTAATCTCCAAATGAGCCAATACGCGCTAGAATAAGCTTCTTCTCAGACGAAACGCATGTTTGGGAGACATCGACTTCTCTCAAATGTTTTTTTTTAAGCTGTATACCCACGAATTTAGAGGTACGAGTAGTTGCCGTCCCTGGCCAGCGCGAGAAAAATAACATTTGGTTCTACAGCTAGTTGCAAATGAACAACACAACTTCAAAATCTTGACTTTATCAATTCGAATGTTAGGTTGAATAGAGGGCTTTTTAGACACTCGATTTCTTATATGGCATCACTGATACACCTACAACTGATACAACTACACTACATAGGATTAACAATGTCTGTTGCGCTGTTGCGAGAAGGAGGAAAATAATACCGGAAGTGTAAACTCTTCAAGAGTTCCAGAGACGTTTCAGAGATGTCTACCTTCGGCTTTCACAAAAAATTGACCCCCTCTTAAATTTACTGGGAAAAATGAACTTACAAACTTCTTGTTACAAAAATTGGAATTCATTTGACCGATAGGCTGGCTGTTTCAATTTTGCTTTTTCTTCGGGCTGTTATAAAACAGTTCATAAATTGACCAATTGACCAATGACTAAAATATTTTGAAATACCGTTCGGAATTTGCCTTTTTTTGCGTGCAAATCGAGGGTAGACAAAGTTTTTAAAACATTTGACGAGAATTTTAAGGGGTTCACCTAGATAATTTTCGTCGGCCAGAGTCAAGACGCGCCAAGCTAAGCGACATCGCCCTCCAGTAAAATAATTTTCCATAGAATAAATGAGGCGAGCGTGGGCAAACGCACATTTTTTTTTTCATTATTGTCATCAAAGCCCAATGATGTACCTAAATTGGAACTTACGGTATCAAATCATTGATTATGACAGCGTGAGCTGGCTTGCACCTGCACTCAGGAAAGGCCATGACAATCAGCGAAAATAATGGCAAATGCAGATGATACTTGCAGTCAAAAGACAAGCAAATAAGATAACAGAAAGATAAAGAACTTTCTGGAAGTGTCGTCTTGAAAAAAAAAAAAAAAAAAAAAAAAAAAAAAAAGATAAACAATTTTTACTTCTCATGAAAGGTCACGCAGTCACGCTACGAATACTATTTCTACGTGGAATTCCTTGATGGTGGAAGTGGAAAAACATTTTCCAGTCTTATTTTCTGGAAACATGGCGCAGTTCATGAATTTTATGAGGCTATTGATATTTCCTTTCAAATAAGGGGGCAGAGTTTCCCGTTATCCGCGGTCTGGAAAAGCCGAATTTGTTAGAAACGGGAACTTGTACGTCAACAAGCACGCGACATGTGACTTTAAAATCTCCACTCTCGTTACAGTTTCCTTAATGTGAACTGTGCGATAATGATAATAAACAATCAAATTATAGACTAATGAGCGTTTTGTTCTGTACGGGAGCCCTATTTCCTGATTTTAGCAAATCTTCAAAGTAATAAACGACAGTAGAAAGAATTGCTACGATTTTCCCATCGATTTTTCGCCTACGTGCATCTCTCTAACCGTGAAATTTTCCATTCCTACAAAAAATCTCGTAAGTTTTCAAATTTTTTACCTTTCATGATCAATCATCTTGTATAAAGAGCTAAAAGTGTAGGTTTATATGGTCAAGTGACCGCCTAGAGCAAGAATTGCGTGACAAGTGTAGTTAAGAGAAACTTGCCACAGTCGCAGATTTTAAAAGGCATCCAAGACAAAAATACGGTAATGCCCAAAGAGTTTTTTGACGATTTTCAGAGATGAAACGATGGGTTATAAAGGGGAATAAAGGTTAGTACTGTAGCTTTCTGGCAACGGGAGATATTTGACCTATAAGTTTTCAAATATTTAGATGAATCGAAAAGTGTAAAAACACAGTCGTTTATTCGCCCCTGTCGATTGACAAGCCGTCAACCAAATTAACTGATACTTGCGGTGGACATTAACTAGGGATGTAAAAAAATGTGTGCAAACCCTCAGAGTAATTGGTTTAATACCATCGCTGTGAAAACTTCATACATTTTACCTATTTTGAAGCGATGTTTTTGGTGAAAACCAAGAAAAACCGGTGGGGTGTCTATTTCCCCCCGGAAAAACCAAAACAGAAACTAGTTTGTCTTTTTTAGTTTTGGGGTAGACCCTTTAAACTAGCAAAGTTTCATTGAAATCGGTGAGATGGCATGCAGCACGACTGACCGGCGCTCTTGTGGATACGCTCTGAATTAGTGTATAAGCAGAGTTTCCAAGATCTGGAGATTTAAAATCTGCAGATTTTTCCTTTTGTGCCAGCTGCCACTTTTGCACCTTCCTGACTTAACCCTGACTTGTTGCAATCATAAAAACCAGAAGCAGACTATTACTTAGAGACAAACAGTTATTACATAAATGATAAGAATAATGATGAAGAAGATGAGATTAATAGTTATGATGATGCTAATAATGTGGGTGAGAACACATAGTAGTAATAATAATGATGAGGATTAAGCGTCACTCAATTTGAAGGAAACCCCTGGGAATTTAAACTTCTGGAGATTGGTTTCCTATCATATCTCCTGCGCAAAATATGTGTTCAAATGCCCCACCCAATTTCTAAGAAAAAAGCAAAATAATTAGCAACATGATTTTCAACTAATTTACCAAGCTTTAAAACCATTTGAGGCATTTGTTAGTGAAAGTGCACTTTACCTTAAACACCTTATATTTTGCTGGAAGGTCTTGATTCTTCTGGTTCAAACTCCCCAATGCCAGTCAGGCAAGCTTCAACTTCCCCTTCCCCCTTTTTGGCTTATATAATTATCTAATGCTTGTGGGTTGCCCGGGGGAAAGGGGGGGAGAAATTTAAAGCCTTCAATTGATTGTTGCACAATAATGGAAAGATGATGGTGATGATGATGGAGATGATGGTGCTACTTATGATGCAAACTTACACAATGGATGTTATATGATGATCAAATAAAGTCTTTACTTATTACAACTTTGTGTACTTGCTTTGAACTTTTAGAAAAGAAAATAACAAAGGTTTCTGTGTCATAGATCTTCTCAATGAACAGCATATTGTAATCATAGAAGAGAGTCATGACTGGCCAAATATCCTTTAAAGTGGTCATACAGTGTATATATCCTTTTCCACAACTGCTTACATTCTTGAAACTGGTAGAATAGAAATAACTGGCAACCTGGCTTTCAAGCAATTGATGACCAGGCTTTAAAACCTTGACCTTGTAGACTCTTTTCTTCTGAGCCATTTGTGAGTGAAAGTGCACTTCCTCCGTTTAGCACCTCAATATTCAATGATATAACACTTGTAGATATATTCTATTGGAAATTAGTCTTGACACTTCTGATTCAAATTCTCCAATGCTAGTCAGGCAAAGTTCAATCACCCCCCCTTTAGCTTGGATGATGATCAAGTGCCTGGGGGTTTCTCAAGGAGAAGGGAGGGGGTGTCAAAGCTTTTGAATTGATTGTTGCATTATAATGAGAATATGATAATGATGATGATGATGGTACTTCATAATGATCGATGCAAACTTCCAAAATGGATGTTATATGGTAATCAAAGTCTTTACTCATTATATATACTCTATATGGCCTGTTTTTTAAAAAAATCACCCAGAATGTCATAAGCATTGCCAAGATTACCACAGTTGTTACCCTCCCCATGCTTACCTCCCCAATTATAGAAGTCTATGACTTCCCTGAGATCACCATGAACTTGCATTACCATAATCATAGCTTAAATATGATCTTTTTCTTCCAGGGACTCACCTCCCACTTCTCTGAGAGACTGAAGTCTTAATGACGACAAGTTCCTATCATTTTTGTCAATCTTTTTTTTATGTTAAGGCTTAAAATTGTGGAAAAACAAGAAGATTTTTTCTGATCACATGAATTGGGACATATATATATATATATGTGTGTGTGTGTGTGTGTGTGTGTGTGTGTGTGTGTGTGTGTGTGTGTGTGTGTGTGTGTGTGTGTGCGTGTGTGTGTGTGTGTGTGTGTGTCTGTGTGTGTGTGTGTGTGTGTAAATCTACACATCACAAAAAGTTCTCTTCTGTGTGCAACCTAAAATTTTAACGTGAAATATCTAGATATAATCCCTTATGTCCAAAAAACTAGGAGGCACTTGCTCAATTTTTAAATTATTGCAGCTTTAACATCAGATGAATGTTTTACAGCAGTGGAAGAAATGTGTCATGAACACAAATACGTGCCTTTAAAAATATAAATATGCGCCTTTAAAAGTTGTATTTGACCAAAGTAAAAAGTGATGAAAGTTTTTGCATCTCTGAGTAGTGGAAAAAATTTAAAGGCAAGAAAATCCGCATACTTTATATCAACATTACCAAGCCTTTTTTTGAGACTCATTTCAGAGAGATCATCTACCCATGTACCATATATAAACAGGGTGAATATTAGTCTTTAAACTAAACTAATGTACCAGTTATGGCACATAAAGTATGACTAAGTCATGGCTAAAAGGAGTAATATCACTAATATGTCATGAGGTAATAACTTTTCCTACATTTTTTAATCACACACACTTAAAGTATGAGCTGATAAGCTGACTCATCTTTATTAATACCCTTCTTAGCATTTTCTCACTTAAAACATCAAATTATAAAATAATTCCGTTATACCCACAGTTAAAAATAAAAGTTTCCTTCAAAGGATACAGCTAATCCCTTATCACACCAAGTGATTGCTTCTTCAAATCTCTTCAATTCAACACAAGCAGTGGCTCCTGTAGGCAACAACACAAAGAAACATATTATTACTGTAGCTCAATCCCAAGCAAAGGAATTTGAAACCATTGAAAGCTAAATCATTACAGACCAGAAGAAAAAAAAAAACAAAACAAAACAAAAAAGCTAAATGGAATAAAATGAGCAAGCCCTATAACGTTTCAGTTAGATTGATTTTTGATAATTAGACTTCTAAGAACATTTAAATTGAGACTGACATTAATCCCACAAAATCACTGAGATATAGATAGAATATAAGACATGCAATGTGAAAACGTGGTCTTGACCTCTAAATTAAAGTCAATTGAGACAAGATTTAACTTCATCTATACTAATTACAATGATGTATTGCTTTTTTATTATTATTATAGCACAGCTAATACACTGTGTATCCAACCTCTCACAATTGCCTTGAAGAAAGTTGGATTTAACTCAAAGGCTGCTTCTGCATCCCTTAGTGAATCCTGGTGATTTCCTGTAATTCAAATAAATATATCTGATTAGCTGTACACATAGCAAACCTACCACCTTTACATTAATTTTAGGAAAAAGTTGTGATGCTCATTAATATTTGGGGTTTAGGAACTTTTTCGTATATTTGAGAGGCCAAGATGAGGCCTACATTCAAAATTATTGTTTTTTTTAGAAAACTATTATTAACAACCCTTAATTAGCTTCAACAGAGAAAAAAAATGCGTATTAAAGCTCTCATCATCTTACCAAGTTTAGAATGTGCAATAGCCCTGTTGTTGTACAGTTTAGCCTTCAGTACTTTCTCATTGCAGTTCATTTTAATTCCTTTGGTATAAAAATGAATAGCATTGATGGAATCTCCTTTCTTGAAGGCCTCATTACCCTCATTCCTATAAGCATCAGCTGCAGCTGTAAGGAATAAATAAAAAAAATAATTTGTGTCAAACTTGGCTGCCAAGATCTGGAGATTTAAGATCTGCAGATTCTTCCTTTTGTGCCAGCTGCCATTTTTGCACATGCCTGACTTGACCAATAAACCCTAGATGATGTCTGCAGCCTCCCCCCCCTCCCCCCTCACAGGACAATTCCTACACAGTTCATTTACAAGAGACTTTTTTGGGTTGAAAGCTCAACCAATCAGACTTATAGTTGCTATTGTGGTTGTTATTTAGAAGAAAGTATAATTCCTTCTTTAAAAAAATCTAAGTGCAATCAAGAAAATTAAGATAAGTACCCCCAGATAACCATAATAACATTGGATATGGGAGATCTGGAGTTCAAATGTTATGCTTCTGTGAGGAACTGACCCTAATCCTCCTTTATCTTGAAGGTTTGATGACCCATATGGAAGACCCAGAGTCATGTTCTGTGTCAGTGAGTGTAAAAGGGTCTACTGCTTTAATTACATTTAGATAGTTAATAAGTCAATAAGATCCAAATGTTACAATCATAAAAACCAGAAGCAATATTACTTATAGACAAATAGTTATTATATAAATGATAAGAATAATGATAAAGAAGATGAGATTACCAGTAATAGTTATAATGATGCTTATATTGTGGGTGACAACAGTGGTAATAATAATGATGAGAATTAAGCATCACTCAATTTGAAGCAAACCCCTGGGCATTTAAACTTTTGGAGATCGGTGTCCTAAAATTCCTATTGCCCTAGGAAAAATAGGCCCCACCCAATTTTTATGTAAAACGTGAAATAATGAGCAACTTGACTTTCAACTAATTGACCAAGCTTTAAACCTAGACCCTGTGGACTTTTTTCTTCTGAGCCATTTTGTTAGTGAAAGTGCGCTATTTGTCTCAACCCTTTAACTCCCAGAAGTGATTCACATGTAACTTCTCCCTACAATATCCATCCCCTTTCCAGCAAACAGGTAATGAGAGAACTTAAATATATCAGGTAGAAGTTGTTATTCTTCACAGCGATTTGTTGGTGAAAGTGCACTATTTACCCTAAACACCTCCATATTTAAAGATAATAACACTTTTATTCTACTAGAAAGTCTTGACACTTCTGTTTCAACTTTCCCAAAGCCAGTCAGGCAAGGTTCAATTCCCCCCCCCCCCCCCTTTGGCTTGGATGATGATTAAATTCCTGTGGGTTGCTCAAGGAGAAGGAGAGGGGGGAAGTCAAAGCTTTCAATTCATTGTTGCAATATAATAATGGAAAATGGTGATGATGATGATGATGATGGTACTTATGATGCAAACTTACAAAATGTATGTTACATGATGATCAAATAAAGTCAGACTCTTTACTTATGATATCTTTAAGTGCTTGCTTTACACTTTTAGAAAAGAAAATGGCAAAGGTTTCTATGTCATAGATCCTATAAATGAACCACATATTATAATCATAGAAGAGAGTCATAACTGGCCAAATATCTTTTAAAGTATTAATACAGTGTATAATTAAATCCTTCTCCTCATCTGCTTACATTCTTGACACAGAAACTGTTCTAACAATAACTAAAGCCAAAGTTGAACCTAACTTACCTCGTAAAGTGTCATCATCAAAATCTGGTGCATTTTGTTTGTCAGGTAAGTCTTCATTTTCACATGGAATTTTAATTGGACTTCCTCCTGTAGCCATAGCAACTGTAAGAAGAAGCTTCTTACACAAAGTTGCTGTTTCAAGTTATCCTGGCCTGAAAAAAAGATGGTTACAAATGGTAATAAACATCAGCTCAACATATTACCCAAAATAAATGTTTTTTCCCACCTGAGAATGGGAGGGATACATAGACACAAAATCACAAGCAATTAATATTAATAGCATACTAAAAGTAGCAAAAGAACAAGATATATATATACTGAAGAAAACAAGCATTTATTTTTGAATGAACAGTAATTCACTTCTCATTATGATAAATTTCAAGATTTATAAAATACAAACATCATTATCTTTGTGTTGCAAGTTCATATAATTTGTTACTGCAGCGATTTAAATTAATTAAACTAAGAGGCTATGATAGGTAGCTAGGTAATGTCTGTACTTGAGCAGTGGCCCATCCAGGTCCTGAGCTTATAATCCTTGTTTCCTCACATGAAGTGACCCCCCCCCCCCCCCTCACACTGTGAGAAGTGTTTTGCACAAGAACAAAACACTTTGACTTGGCCAGGCTACAAATGCAGACCTATTAACCCTGAGTCCACCACTCAACAAGAGGGGAGAGTTTATGCTGAATACTTTTTCATAAGAAACAAATTTTACAAAACCTAAGTAAAATTCTCTTATTTTGATTTTTAAATAGGGATTACTGGTCAAAACTTAAAAAAGATGTTTGTCTTTTATTCAATTTCCTCTGGTTGAACTGATGCCCGTATTCATAGATGGCTTTAGTTCAACTGTTACACTTATTGAAGGAAAAACAGTGAAATATATATTAATACTAATACATGCTGATGTATGCTGAAATGGATTTCAATACTGTACAGATGCTGTCATTTGTGTTGAATAGTATATGTACCGGTAGATAACAAATTGTTATTGTAATTGCTTCATGTTTCTATTGTTTTATGCACAAAATTGACTTGTCTTTGATGCTAACTTTGATTCTCCTAACAATCAAGATTGTGGCAGCATAGAAATGATTGAGTGCCAATACTCCCAGCACGGCGCAAGAAAGCGAAGTAATAGTCTTCTAAACTAGTTTATTTTGAATTTTGTGGCTTCCAAGTCAAAAAGTACATGTAGTATGATTGTCTGTAGGGTGTGTTTATGATCACGCCTTTATCTTAAAAGGGGTCTAAAATAATAATAACAAAAAAACATACATATTTAATTTGGTGATTGGCGCTGATCGAAGCACTTTCAATTTCGCAACTAGAGTAAAAGTGCTTCACTCATCATTAAACACAAAATGAAAGACATCCTTGGAACTTTTCTTAAACACTTCAGAATCATTCGCTTTTTCTTTGATAGATACCAGTTTATTATTCCTGTGCCTTTTGGAAGAATTCGCCAACTGTGAGTGTAAATTTTAAGCTCAGCTTATGAGTAAATAATTCATGGCGCCAGTTCACCCTTGCGCCAGATTCAGGTAAAAGTTATAAATCCTCGGCAGTTGTAATTTGCCTTTATGGCCAGAAATCAAAGAGAATAAGCGTAAGTCAAAAAAAGACTTGGAGGAGAAAACAACAACTGAGAAGCTTAAAAAAAAGACACAAACTTCACTCAAACCTGTGAGAATTCTCACCTCTGCTGTGGAAACAGAAGCGATATCGGCAGCCTTTTTACGACCTCGCCAACTCAGTCCGATATGAAGAGCTTTCAAAGAAACTCACTTGAATTAACAAGGTCCTGTCAAAACACGAGAAATTCGTTTTGGAATGAAAATCTCGATACCACGACCTGAGCAGTAAATCTGCCGACGGCGTCCTTGTAAATTATGAGGAGTTTTGTGCTTCGATCAGCACCTTGCCTGCAGTGCACATGTGCTTTAAGCCGCCGGCATACCTGTCGATTTTATGCGCCAATCGCGGCGATCGGCGAAAATCCCCAGATGTGTCCGGTGCGGCCATTGCGATCGGCGTATGAAATCGCCGATATCTGACCTGCCAGATTAAATTTGGCGACTAAATTTGCCACGATCAGCGAGTATAATCGCCAGGTGTGCTCTCAGCTTGAGTACGAGCTAAGGTTATAAGCTCGCGATCGTTTATAAGACCGACCATGTTTGATTTGGGGTTAGGATCTTCACTCCCCCACCCCTACCCCCTCCCTTACTTTCGACTTTCGGCCGCCCCCTTGGTACAAATTCCTCTCTCTCGCCAGCCTTTCGCTGCCATTCAAATCAAAGATGGTGGCCATAATTTTCGTTAAGAAAATAATGAGCACTTGCTCGTCAAAATTACGCCTGCTTAGCAGGCTAATCAGGGTCAAACGTCAATCAAGGTTGTAATTAAGGCGCTGGGTTCCGGGTTAAAAGCCTCAACCCTGCACCTTACTGGATTTGTTCTCGATTGCTCGAGCTCGGCTTCGATAAAATCAAGCCCGGACCGGATCGGATCGGATCATGGATCGGATCACGGATCGGGTCATGGTTTGGATGAGGGATTGAATCACGGATTGACGATTGAGAAAAAGGGAGTTTTGAAAACAAAAAGTCGAATCGTTTATAAAATGATAATACAAAAAAAAAGAATAAAAAACGAAAATATGTTAATTGAAATTAGAAATGTTGCGTGACAGGCCAAAACAAAGTCTACGTGACATAATGGAGCACAAGTCCCACTGGAATTTCTTTTGCCCCAAAACCCCATGTTGTCAATTTCACAGCTGTGTCGAAGAGTGTTGTGTAATGCCGTCATAGACGAAGGCAAGCGAGAGGTACGTGTCATTTCATCAGTCAGTTATTATTATTTTTCAATATCATGACACGTACTACTTTTCCTTTATTCAATGTCATTTAGCACACGCGAGAGAAGAGGCGGGGTGAGGAGTAAGATTGTTTTAGAAATGAGTGCTGAAGTGCATGTAAGCGATTTATGTAGTCCATGAACCTGACCACATGAGGTTTGGGGGCAAAAAAAAACTTCGAGTGGGGCCTAAGGCCCATTATGTCATGCAGTCATTATTTTGGCTTGTCAAGCAACATTTCTGATTTCAAGTAACCTATTTCAGTTTCTTAACTCCTATTTTTGAAGTATTATTATTTTATAAACGATTTGATTTTTTTATTTTTCAAAATTTATTTATTCGATTCGTGATCCGCTCCGTGATTCCGGTGATCCGTGATCCGATCCGCGATCCAGCCCGTAATCTGATCCAGTCCGATCGCCACCTCGAGTTCAACTCCTTGCTCCGACGAAGGGCTAACGCTCGAAACGTCAGCTCAATTATTCTTTACGGTGGTCGATTTACGTTTTCAACTCAGTTGTTAACATTTAATTACCCGCTGTATTCTCCCACCGACGCAGTACCTCAGTTTCTTCAGAAACTTACCCCCTTTATCCTTGGATATACTATTTCTTCAATTGGTTTGATACCGGCCAGTTGAGAATTTTAAACTCTTTGTTTACTTATATTGTTCATTGACAATTTGTGTCAGTGGGCAAGAAGAGCTACCTCGTAGAATGTCCACTGCTTTCTTTTCTTTGTGAATTCGTCAGCATTTGAAGGTTAGTTTTTAAGTAACGCGGGACGGCAGTTAATTCACTGCAACGAAGTATTCAAATTAAAGTTAGCAATCCTCGGTAGTTGTAGCAGAGTTTTACAAAAGCAGAAATCGAAGAAAATCCGAAGACATTCAAAAACACTTGAAGGAGTAAATTCTAACAGAGAAGCTCAAAATAAAGGCGTTTACCTGATGTATAAAGATCCTACGCAACCTGCGCAACCTGGAGAAGTCTTACTCTTGTCGGGTAAATGGAAGCGACGTTTGACTGTTCTATCAGCTTTTTTTATAACCTTGCCACATCAATCCGTCATGAGAATGTTTCAGAGGAACTCAGTAAGATTAATAAGGTCCAAATAAAATCAAACAGAAACTTTATTGAGCAAAAAATCTCGAGACAACGACCCAAACTGTAAACTTGCCGACAGCGTTGCTGCCTAATATTGGGAGTTGTTTTGTCACGGAAAAACCCCTCAGGCCTAAGACTCTGTGTAAGCTTGAAGTACATGACACGGCAAACCGGAAGTGGAGAGATTCTGCTGTATAGTATGACGAAATTATGGCTTTGTGGTTTAAAATACACTGCTTTTTTCATGTATCACACTGTTCCAACATTGAAAATTAAAAGGACATAATAAATTCTAACAGGTAATGAGAATACCCAAACTTATCAGGTAGAAGTTGTTATCATGATCTAACACCAGATTCTCGTAACCAATTTAAAAGGAAATGTGTAGCAGCGAGAGAAGAAAATTAACAATCAGATCTTGGGAGTTAAAAGGTTTGAGTCTTTTGGAGTAATAGAATTATTATTGGCTCTTCGGATAAGATAGAGATACTCTACTAGATTAAATTATTTTGCAAAGAATCCTTTGACGGTGGTATATTTGCGTTGATAACGAAAATCTGAAAAGGAGAGGCGAACATTAATTAATATGACGTGAGCCACAAAAAATGTCTAATGAAGACGTACATCGATCAACTAAAAAGTCTTCTTTGGCGCTCCTTCCCTAGTTCCTTGAAAAGAGTATGCGTAGCCTCCATGCTAAAGCTTTAAACTGCTTTCTCCAATGAAGGAGACTGTCAGTGTAGCTCAGTTTAATGAACAATAGCTTTGTAAAATTAGCTTAAACCATTTGCGCTCGTTTTCCACTCACTTGGAATTAGAAATGCGAATTCAAAATCTCTGCGTCCATGGAACACAGCCTGGTTTCTTGTTGCCTGGTTTCTTGTTGCCTGGTTTCTTGTTGCCTGGTTTCTTGTTGCCTGGTTTCTTGTTGCCTGGTTTCTTGTTCCTGTTCACCTTCCTCGAGTGTAACATCAACGACACTACTGTCCTTTACCGCACCTATAAGAGTAGGCATCTCCTCTTGTCCTGTTTGCAGCTGATTATCAAGGACATTCTTCTCAACCATACCAGTCACTTCTGCCTGCAGGCCATTGAGGGGGAGAAGTAGGGCCAGGAGGCAGGAGA